GGTAAAGGTACGAGCGGCGGGGGCGCCTTAATACATGCGAGGGAACCTATTAAGACAACTCATAAGCTGCAAATGAATACCTATAACTGATAAGTGAACACAGAATGCAAAAAATAATGTCACTGCACAATTTAATAACTCGATATTAAGAACTGGACACAGAATAAGAAATATTTAAGGAAAAGCTAGGTATTGATCACCAATTTTTTTCCTTTTTTTGTCTTCAAAAATTCACACGGATTTTGGTTGTGGTGCGAGGCGAGAAGCAGGGGAGCTGCACGGCTGATGAGATTTGAAGCAGTGTGTGGCAAGCAAGGTCATGGCGTGACCAGTCAGCGGGATGTTTCCTGCCGTGTGGCTGGGATGATGAATCCGCATGGCGAGGAACTCGGCTCGGTGTAGAGATGTTTTGGGTGGTTCACGTCCTTGGTGATGTGTGGTCCAGCTGGGGTCTGGATATCGGCACAGTGCTGGCAGCAACAGACGAGATAGATGGTTAGGGGTCAGCAGCTGGTGCTGAGAGTGGCGTGAATTCTACTACTATGATCAGCAGCATCAGTTATCTGGGCTTGGGGACATCTCAGCAGGACTGGGTCACATTGTGCTTGGCAGGGTATGGTGTTGATGCGGAGGCGTTGTATGAGTCTGCTTTCACCGCTGCCGCCAGTTGTAAGAGCCCAAATGTTGGGTCCTACAAGAGTTTGGTAGATGGCGAGCTTAGAGTTAAGGTAGACAACCAAGATGTCTTGACTCCTTTACTGAATAAGATGGTAGAGTGCGGCGGCTCCTCGGAGCGAGGCGTTGCTCCTTAGCTCCCCGCAGGGAGTCTGCCTGATCTCCTATGCACTGGTTTAAAGATCGCACCAAGTCACGTTGTTAGCATGTGACGAACGGTGATGAACAAGGAAGCGTTACAACAATACATAACTTGTGGAAGAGATAGACAAGACAACATTCAGGTCTGGTGAGGCAAGAAGAGAGGAATGAACAGAGGAAGCAATGGTCAGGCGTATATGCATATGTATATATATATGTGTGTGTGAAGATACAAACATGTAAGATTATATACATACGTATCATATAGTAATTGGATATAGATATAGCTGGGTTACACAAACACTAAAAAAATTCTGACAAGGATACGACATTACAATAGGCGTAAATATAATGTTATAAAAAGCTTAAGATAAGAACTGGAGAAGTTGACTAATAAAGTAAATGACCAAGAGATTAAACACAGCATAAACCAAAGAACATCATAATTACTAACATTGAACAAAGCCTCCGAAGGAAATATCTCAGTCAAGTCACCAGAACAAATATGTTACAAACTCTAAGGGTCGGGATCCCTCTTTCCGTGGTGGCGCCTCCCTCCGTGTTTGTATGATTGAGCGTATGTCAGCTCAGAGTATCACTACACTCTTTCCCTTTGGAAGTGGGGTGGGTGGGGACGTCTCTCTCTGGACCAGACGTTGGGACTCCGATCCACTCTCTCGCCTTTGATTGCGTTGTATTATCTTCTAATATTTTGCTCAATCATACACGAAACGAAAATTGAGATGGTATAACAATTCCTTATATTCATCATCATCATAGGGGCTGACGCCGACGGGGGCGCATAGCCGCATCCACCCTTTGCTTCCACCTACGAGGATCCCTCATGGCTAGACGCCAGGCAGGGACTCGGCCCATCTCTAGTTCTTCACGGCAGGTTTGGTCGATCTGCCCAAGCCATGACTTCCTCGGTCGTCCCAAAGGCCTCCTCCACCCAGGGTTGTCTCGAATAGAGACGACCTGATGGGCAGGATCATCCTGAGGAAAGCGAGCCAGGTGGCCGTATAGCCTGAGTTGGCGATCACGGATTGTGCAGATAACAGGGCTTGTGCCAGTCTCACGGTGCAACCGTTGGTTGGACACATGGTCCCGCCAACAGTACCCCATGATCTGGCGCAAGGACCTATTGCAAAAGGCTTCAAGACGAGCCTCCAAGGCACAGGACAATGTCCAGGTTTCGCTACCGTATAGCAAAACTGGCATTATCAGGGCCTTGAAAACCCGAAGCTTGGTCCTTCTGCACAGGTACCGACATCTCCAAATACTCTTGTTGAGAGAGTTCATGACCCCTGCTGCCAGGCCAATCCGTCTGCTGACTTCATGGTCTGACAGCCCAGAGTTATGAACTACACTACCAAGGTATGTAATGCTCTGTGTGACTTCAATGTCCTCGCCGCAAGCACGTATCGACTGAACAGGTTCTCCTATCAAGTCCCCAAATTCCTGGACCTTGGTCTTGGTCCAGGAGACCTCTAGACCCAGGGGCTTTGCTTCATTGCTAAATGCATCGAGAGCCGCCACTAGGGTTTCCAAAGACTCAGATAGAATGGCAACGTCATCAGCAAAGTCAAGGTCTGTAACCTTGATATTGCCCAGCGTTGCCCCACAATGACTTTGAACAGTAGCTCTGCCCAGTATCCAGTCCATGCAAGTGTTGAAAAGAGTT